AATCCAAAGCAGGCTGCAGGCTCTGAGCTGTCAGCACAGAGCCTGATGCAGGGCCCAAATTCACAAAGCGTGGGATGATGACCTGAGATGAAACCAAGATTTGGATGCTTAACTGACTGAGCCACCCAGGAGTCCCCAGTTTATTTATTTATTTTGAGAGAGAGTACACAGGAGGGGCAAAGAGAGAGGGAGAGGGAAAGAGAGAAAATCTCAAGTAGGCTCCGCACTGTCACAGTGCAGAGCCCAATGAGGGCCTTGAACTCAGGAACTGTGAGATCATGACCTGAGCTGAAGTCAAGAGTCAGTAGATTAACTGACTGAGCCACCAAGGCACCCCTCTTTATACTTTTAAAATGTGGCTACTAGAATATTGTAAACTATACACGTGGCTTGTGTTGTATTTCTATTGGACAGAGCTACTCTAGACTGCCTATGGATGACAGTTGATAATAAGATTTCTCAGCCTTATAGACATGACGAGCTTTAAGTCAGGGGTCATATGAGCTTAAAATTCAACTTGCTTTGTAGCAAATTAGATTTTATTTTTCACATTTGTCAAACTATCTTTTTTTTTATTTTTTTTATTTTTATTTTTTTTATTTTTATTTTTTTTCAACGTTTTATTTATTTTTGGGACAGAGAGAGACAGAGCATGAACGGGGGAGGGGCAGAGAGAGAGGGAGACACAGAATCGGAAACAGGCTCCAGGCTCTGAGCCATCAGCCCAGAGCCTGACGCGGGGCTCGAACTCACGGACCGCAAGATCGTGACCTGGCTGAAGTCGGACGCTTAACCGACTGCGCCACCCAGGCGCCCCTGTCAAACTATCTTTTAAGAAGATTAAGTTCCTATAAAATCCTACCTTCAGGAATACAATTTCTAGAGATTGAAATGAAAATATTGCAAGAGTGTCTGCCATATTCCAAGAAACTGTAGGCACTTTTAACTTTATTCCTAAAGAAAGGGAGTTGATATGAATTTAGTGGACTATAGAAAAATATATTCAAGAGATATTAAAAGTACCAACGGGCAAACACGCTTTTACAGGGATGAACGATATTTAATTGTCCAGCTCTTTCCAATTTTTTTCTACCTTTGTTTTCTAATCTGTATTTTCACTTGGGGCTTGAAAAACAGGAAAGAGGCGGAAGGGTACCTCTAACAATGTCAAAAAGGGTCTTATGAGAGCCTCTCTGTAAAGACATGTGGTTCTCAGGCTAGGATAACATAAAGGCCTCCTCATGTTCTGCTCACTATAAAGTCAACAAACCTGCAGCTGAAATGCCTTCCTTCCTCATGTGTCCTCCAGGGCTGCTTTTACTGCTCTCTGCCTACTCTCAAGTGGACACTGCATTTTTCTAAAAAGCCATATCCCTGGG